ATCAACGCTCCCTGCGATGAGGGAGGGGCCAAGGGCAGGTACTGCCCAGCAGGGACAGGGGAGCTGTAGGATGGAGGCATGACTCGTGGGGTGGGGGCAGCTCCCACCGCTGCTTGCACCCTGGGAGAGTTAGGGGGGGGAAAAAGCGTGTGCCCCCAGATCTGCGCAGTGCGGGGCCAGCTGCAGCTGTGGGGTGGAGCTGGAGCTGTGCAGGGCTTTTCTCAGTGGGGACTGGGCTCAGAGCGGGCTCCGGCAGCACTGGGAGGAGGCTGCAGCCACCCCAAATTTCTCCATAGCTTCGCTCCCAGCCCCGCGCCACCGCAGCCCCAGCTTTTCCCAGTGCTTGGGTGGAGGCGGGGCATTCAGCCAAGGCTGCATTGGGCGGTGGCATAGGGCTGGGAGCAGAGCTGTGGTGAAATCTGGGGTGGCTGTAGCTTCCTCCCGGCACTGCCAGAGCCCGCTCTGAGCCCAGCCTTTTCAGAGAAAATCCCTGCACAGTGCCAGCTCCACCCTGCAGCTGGCCCCGTACCATCCAGATCTGGGGACACAAAACCCTCACCCCTCTGGGTGCAAGCAGCAGCAGGAGCTGCCCCCACCCCATGAGCCGCACCCCCGTCCTGTGGTCCCACCCCCAGCTGGGCAGCTCCTGCCCCCTCCTCACTGTGGGGGACACTGATCTGCCCCCCCACACCTCTTCCCTCCCCTTCTGACTTACAGCAGGAGGCAGTTCTCCACGCTGCTGGCTCTGCTCCGTGCAGCATTTAATCGGCCAAATTATCAGCCCCATTGGGCTGATATCAGCTCTAGAAAAATCTTTATATCGGTATTGATCTGATATTGGACCGATATCGGTGCACCTCTAGTTAAGGGGCTGGGGCACACAACTTCTGAGGAGAGGCTGAGGGAACTGGGCTTATTTAGTCTGCAGAAGAGAAGACCGAGGAGGGGGAGGATCTGATAGCAACCTTTAACTACCCAAAGTTGTAGCAAGGAAGGTTTGGGTTGGATATTAGGAAAAACTCTCACTAGGAGGGTGGTGAAGCACTGGAACAGGTTACCTACACAGGTAGTAGAATCTCCATCCTTGGAGGTTTTAAAGGCCTGGCTCGACAAAGCCCTAGCTGTAATGACCTAGTTGGGGATGGTCCTACTTTGAGCAGGGAGTTGGACTAGATGACCTCCTGAGGTCCCTTCCAACCCTCATTTTCTATGATTCTATGGATTCATAAATATTATCCTTAAAAAATGTTTAATTTTAATATTCAAACCATTCTTCAGAACCAGGAAGTCAGAATGAGAAAAGTGAAATGTAAGCATATATTTCAAAATATAAAATATTAAAGAAAAATAGATGTTTTTTAAGTACATTAAACAAAAATATTTCACATCCACCTACTAACTAGACCATTGGTGCTCAACCTTTTGGCCCCATAGGCCAGATGAATGAGGCAGGGTCAGTCTGTGGGCCAGATCAAGCCCCCTATGCTGGAACTGGCCCTGATGGGGGGCAGGGCATCACGCCTGTGCATTGGGATAGGCCTCTGGGGGCTCAGCATCACCCCAGTGTGCCCCTGCATAACATATTTGATCCCTGGGGCCCCAGCACTGCCTCCCTCCCACTGGGACTGGTCCTTGGAGGCCTGGTACCACTGCCTGCTGTCCCAGAGCACTAAGATTGGGCCTTCAGGCCCAGTGCTGCCCCCTGCCAGTTCCCTGCTTGCTGGGACTGAATCTTGAAGCCTGGTGTCAGCCCTGTATACTAGAATCAGGTGCAAGGCCCAGGGCTTGGTCCAGAAATTTGGTGAGTTGAGCCCCCCCCCGTGCTAGATTGTAAAACCACGGGGGGAGAAAAAGCCTAGTCTTGAATTTGAGCACCAGCCTGGGACCAGGGCAGGAGTTGCTACCTGCCCCTACCCAGGGTAGCTCAAGGTGGCTTGTACAGCAGGGGGAGGGGGCGAGACTGCAGCGTGAAGGGGGTGCAGGGGAGCTGCTCTGGCTCTGGTCCTGCCCCAGACCAGAAATGTCATAGACACACTGGGTAACTAGGGGAGGAGTGGGGAAGAAGCAGGTATCAGGAGGAGGCAAGTGGCAGAGTTCTGGCTGCCTGCCCCCCATCACTGCTTTTCCTGTTGCAGTGGTGGGGCAGATTAATTTAAAAGAAACCCCCACAATAATCAGATTCTATACATGCAAAATTCTAACACATTTCTAATTTTCCATGTATTAGAATCTAGTTACTGGGGGGGAAAGGAGGGTTGCCTTAAAAGAGAAGTTTTCTTGGATTTGGGTAATACTTCTCTGCTATAAACACGTAAAGTTCTGTAAACATTAACTCACATTTTAAAGATGGGAAACTAGGGATAAAAGAGGTTAAGCTTAGTTTAATCTTAAACTGTTGTCCACCTTGAAGTACATATACAAGACCATGGGTCTTTGCCTTAAATTAAACAAGGAGATGGCTGTTAAAAGGAAGGCAAGTATACAATAGAAAAAAAAAAAATCAGTCTGTTTGCTATAACTGTTTCAAAATAACCATGAACTTTAAACACCAGAGCCAACGTAACATTTGATTAGGGAGGCAGCAACTCCAAGTATTTAATATTCAGCATGATACCCAGTAATCAATTTGGCATTCAGTGAAAATAGAGCACCAGCAGAGGCCAGGTCACTGATGGGGTAATATGCACCAACTGAATAACAGGGAACTGAAAGGAACTTAAAATGGCAGCTGAGACAAAACTAACTATTCGTGATTTTGCTTCTATCAATCTCATAACACATGGATAGTCAGATCCAGCAGTTTCTTGATCCTGTACCAAGAAGAAAATAAATGCATTTTTACTTTCTCTTTCTGAATACATGTAAAGACGATACAACACTAGAATTACTGAAGTCCTCAAATACTACTGGTTAATGTGCATATTTCAAATCATAAATGCATGCCAAATTATGAAATTTGAAAACTTAATATCACTGCAACAAATCTCTACTTACAGGAATTGAAGGAGAGTCTGTAGAATCGCTGCTGTTGCTTCTTTCTCTGCATAGCCCACTTACTACACACCATGACAGGCTTTCATCAAAAGTCAGTGAAATGCTGTCTGACTTGTGCCGTTTTCTTCTTTCACTAGGCCATTCATCCGACGAATCATCTTCTGCATGTGTGTGATAGAGGAAGTATAGTAAGACAAAGGCATGTAATGTAGTCTACCATTTGCATGCAGTTGAGTCAGTTAAAATGAAATTACTTATGAAATTCAATGTGAAAAGTCATTCAGCATTTTACAAGGGAGGGGGTGGGGGGGGAAAAAAATCAAAGGAATGCAACATTTCAAAAAGAGAATGGACTACTAAAACAGAAACAATATGAAAAATGCTTGGGACTGATGTTTCTGCTGCCCCATATTAAAACATATGAACGGTAATTTCTACAGGCAGTAGAAATAATTCAAGAATCTTATATGCTTTCACCATTTTTAGACACCTGTGAAAGCTCTGCATTTTATAAGTACATGGCATATAACCGTACATTTATAGATAGCAGATTTTCTGCTATAATCCCTCATTTGTAAGAGTTAATAATTCCGTGCTCAATGCTCCTTTGGGGTAATGCATGATGTACAAGATATCAACCATAGGTCACTGTTTTAAACTGGACCCATAAAAACGTTTGATTTGAAGGCAGCAAACCAATGCTTTTTGGGTGTTTCACATGTTTCAAACACTTTCCAGTAGCATAAAGGAGATGGGGAACAGCATTTGGGGACAGGGTAAATGAGACAAAGTTCAACTCCACTGACTTCGAGAAGTGGCACTTAAGTGTCTGTCAAAATCCCTCATAAGATCAATTGCGAAGTCAATGTGTAAATGTAGAGTGAAATTCTCAACCAGCATTGTGTAATTGGCTTAATAACCCTTCAAAAGAGCTTGCTGTCCCCTACTGGTGCCTACTGCACATACCCTCTATTGCCAACGGCTTACTTTACACGGTAAAAAAAGTTGAAAACTCCACAGATTTCTAAAACTGGCTTCTTTAACTTTAAAAGAAAAGAGAACAGAACACTTGTACATACTTTGTGACTCCTCTTACTTTCCCTTGGTCCTTCTTGGCTCAGTCCCTTTCTTTTCTTTTCTTGCCCTGAGAGCCCCAACATTCAAAATTAGGTGCCCCCAGGCCCAACCGTTGCTCCTGTCCATCGTTGTCCGCATTAAAGTTGTCATCTCTCCGTGATGTACCAATAGCATACCACACCACAAGGGTTCTAAACACTACAGGGAAATATCAGCGGCTCCAAAGGAGCCACTACCATCCCACTGTAAGAAGTATAGCGGTTTAAGGGGAAGGTTTCCTATAAATTAAAAAAAATTGTACATAAACACGCTATATTAAAAGACCTTTTAAGGCTGTAACAAACTAATAAATGGATGCAAAAACAGAGTTAATGATCAAGCCTGCAGTAAGTAGCACCTTATTGCAAAGTTGTGCTAAGTATCACCAGTCATGATCCTTAACTGTGAAATTCCATCCTTTTACTAGTTTGAGTTACAACATTAAGATGTTCTTTTAATTTAGTGTGAAATGCTTATCAACGCGGTATAGTTTTAGAATAGGCTAATATAAGTGCCTACAAACTAAAAAACAAACATGATACCTTAGAGAACTAGCAACCAAACAGTGTTCCTGAGCAACATAGAAAAAAAATAAAACACCATGCAGTGATTTTGGGCTACTATTAGTCAGTTAATTACAATTATCAATAGTAAGCAGGTAAGTGATGGAAGGTAGTTTGGTGGGGGGGATTCTAAAACATTTTCAGTTACAACAAGAAGTTATGGAGCACCACCACCAAAAGGTTGAAAATTATACCTGACTCCAAACATACCAGCTAGTCAGCCATTAAATATTAGATATAACGTCACATTTTCAGGATGCATTTGCCAATAAATGTCAAGCTCTCATGCTAGTGATGAAAGGGAATGAAGAGACTCAAAGGACCGGATTTTCAAAGTATCTGTGAAGATACTGTGAAAATGTGCCCCTTCATAACTAGATACAATAGAGCTTTTCACCTCTATGTCACTGACTTAAATTGAACACACAGCAGCTTACAAACAGCATAATTTATCTCCTGGTGGCTGCTTACAAAGTTACATGAAATGAGCATAATGGTGTCAGCCTCTGTGCAAAAAGATGTTCATATCAGGCTATAACTACTACACAACTGGCGGTGGCATTAGGAAAAAAAGGTGGATTAAATGGGCACTAAAACTGAGTTACTCTCTGACCCTAATGGTATTCCTTGAAGATGAAGACTAGCATTCTGGTTGGGTGGCTTGTGGTGCCATCTTGTACCTATTTTGCAGATGAGCAAAGGAACTTAGTTTCTAGGGCTGTCAATCAATACCTTTTACAGCAGTGAATTTAACATGAAAAAGGGCATTTCCAAAAAAGAAAAAAAAACTATCAGGCAGTGACATGCAGAGGTGTGCCCCAAGTTAAATGTTATTACAGATATAAAGTATTGAAAATCCAGTGTTAAACATCTGCACATACCAGATTCACTGCGGGTTCTTCTAGAAGAGGTAGTGGGTCTAACACTCGAATGTGGGGAGGTCTGTTTCTCTTCTAAGTCCTGAATGCCTTCCTATTAAAAAAAGAAAAACAAATAACAAAAGTGTTAACTAAAACAGCATAAGATACTACTGTTAATCTTCCAATTGCATCCAAATCTCAGTGCCAAAGCTAATAATCTTATTAACTTAAAAATCACGGGGTTAAAACACATCAAGCAGTTAGATCACCTTTAGAACATTTCCTTTTTCAAGAGTAGAGCTGGCATCATTCTCTGATGTGTTAGAAGCTGTAGATTCTGAAAAAGAAAAATACATAATGCAGTGCATACTTTAGGCTCAATGTACAAGCTGAAAAGTGAAATAAAACAAAATAATTGTAGGCCCTGATGTAGCAAGTGCTTAAATTTCACAAACCTATAATTTTGAAACATTTGGAAAATAAATAAGTTTATGCTCTCAAGAAGTGTTCAAGGCTTTTCTGTAACACTGCAAATGAGAAAAAGATAAAAATCTCGTTTTAAAGGTCACACCCTTATTATAAGCTTCTTTTTAATGTGTTCAAAATAACAGTCCTGTCTGGTTCGTGTTTTGGGATTTTCCACAGATGACAAAAATATTGTGAGAAGTAAAAATATTACACAATAACGTATAAATAATAACTGGTGCAATATTAATGCTGAATATTAAAAATAAAACATTTTTTTAACTTATATCAACGTAACTGTACTATACTACTCATTAGGAATCGTACTGAATTACTGGTGTTCAAACTTTTTGCCCTATGGCCTGGATGGGTAGTGCCTGGTCCATCCATGGATCAGATCTGGCCGATGGGCCTGATTCAGTGCAAGTGACAGGCATGGCAGGGCCCAATCTAGGATCAAGGAAGGTGAGAGGCAACCCACCCCAACCTGGCTGCATTGGGGAGGAGGTGTGGCCCACCTCAGACCCAGGGTGGCAGTATTAATTGCCACTGCTTTCCCACTGCCAAATTTCCCAACATGTTGGGAGCCCTGCCAGCTCTGCAAGCCAAATTTGGCCTGCAGGCTGGGGGCGTTGAATACCCCTACTTTAAACACTTCAAAACATTTATAATTGCTAAGAACATATACTTAAGACATTTCTTTTGCTGTCAGCATGGAAGAAGAGGATGGTAGAGGATGCCACCAATTATTTTTGTGACAAAACCACCAGCACAGCAAGCACACATCAAAGATAAAACTTTGTTAAAAGAGTATCTCCATCACTTCTTACCTTCTACTTCGCTGTTCTGGCCAAAGTTTTTTTGTTTTTTTTTCCCAAAATCATAAGCTTAAAGTTAAGCTCTAGAACACCAAGCATTTAGAAAAACTAGGTACATCCACTGGCTGAACGTTGATTTAACCAATTAAAAAAAAAATCTTGGCCAATTTTTTCCAGCTCTTTAACTTATTCAAGTTATATCTCAAATTAGTCAAGGCAGTTAGAAAAAGTATTCCATTTTACTTGCACTTCTCATTATGATTTTTGAGCATTCAAAGAGAGTAGGGTCAGAGAGAAAGCCTGTGCCTCAGATGTCTCATTCTGCCTCCAATGAAGTCAGTGGCAGTGTTGCTTGCTACTAACCTTGCTATGAATAGGCTCATGCCCATTTTCAGCCCTTCAGAACCTCAAGGATTTTATTTTATAATAAATGCTTTGCAAGCATGACAAACTATGGGACTGTTGCCATATTTATGGTTTAAATGTTACGTGTCTCAGTTTCCCTAACCCTTACAGGGAGGAATTAAAAGACTAGAGTTGCCCAGCCTACATGACGAAGCCCTCAACAAGGAATTGAGCAATTATGTTGACCCTTCAGGTGGGATTGAAAAACAGCCCTTGGAGGTAATAGATAGAAAGAGCTGGAGATAAGCATCTCAATGAATGGAAGAGGTCTAAACAGGAGGCAGCCCTCCAGAGACGAAAATAATCTGAAGGACAGTGTGAGTTAGAGTCTAGAAAGGGAACAGGGAAGCTACCTTAGAGTAATAAGGGCTGTATAGACTGGAGAATAGCCAAGCTAACTCTGGGGTGCTCAAGGCTGTGCAGACTGGGTTGATGACAGAGGGACTCCTCAACTCTTTGGAGGGGTATGGTCTTTTTGTTCTGTAGCCTTAGCCCCCCAATAAATGCCTTTACTGAATAGCTTTAAGCTTTGCTGCTTGGGCATTCAGGGTGCACTCCTCCCTTTGAAATAATTAAGTCCCTTTCTCTGGAGCTGAACTAGAAGGTAGTTCCTTGAAGCAGGGCCATGGATGGCCAAGGAGGGTCAGGGATCCAACAGCTGGGATCTAAGTTGGATGGAGGCAAGGCTCCCCACCCCATGCCAGAAGCAACACCTTGGCTAACTTCAGGGTGTTCTCAGAGAAACCAGAGGAGGTTAGAGTCATAAGCAAGCATTTCCCCAAGGAGAATCCATTACAGCAAGTACCTCCAGTGCTGGTATAACAAAAAAACTCTCCAACCAAAAACAGAAGTTAATTGAATACTGTCTGTTCTGCAAGGCATGACAATAAAAGACTACAACCAACCATTCTAAATGATCTTACCTTGTGGACCAACTGCTACCAAGTTTCTGGAAATCATTGAATATACTTTCCTTGGAGGAGAACAAGATAAACAATTTGTAAATCAGATGTATAGTACACCAGTTCATATATAATGTTTTAAATTTATCTATGCTGAAACATTTTTTGTGACCAATGATCAAAGCTGGTCAGAAAAAAAAGGGGGGGTTTCTGTGAATACATACAATAGAAATGGAAAAGTTCTCTCTTGCTCGATTATTTTTTAATGTTTGGAAGCTACCCGTTTCATTTTGTTGGTGCAAACAAACCTTACTTTAACCTTTGCCTTCCCCACTTTTTAAAGAACAGGAAAAGGCAAAGCAGCAGCAAATTTTACTCACCAAAACAAAAGTTCTTTGTTTTTAAATTTAAAAATATATATATTATGGGAAGTATTTTGTAAGTTTTGGTTTTGTCTAGAAATGCCCTCTCACCAAACCATTAGTCTGATGAATCTAGTCATGGTTCAAATTATTTTTAAATGGACAGTTTAGTGTCTGTATGCTGTAATTATGTTGCTGTTATACTCAATGGTTGAGTGGACAAAATAAAAATTCTTCACAACAGAGAGCAGTCTAAACCTACTGCATACTTCTGAAGTTTGTAGATCTTCTGAGGTGTGGCAACTATGGAAATAAACCTAGGATGAGCTGGGTCTTCAGAGGAAGACCTGGACAAGGTGGTATGCAATTATAAAAATGGTTTAATGAAAAAAAAAATGCAACAAATTACAGAGCACAGCATAAAGTTCACTTCACATTACTTTAACTTCAGTACTGATCATTCATGAGGAATACAAAAATGTTACCTGTGCTCTTTTACTGAAAAGCTTGGTACTCCAAAGAGATCCCCAAGATGATCATTTTCACAGTGGACAATATGCTGCTCTCTTTCATCATACAATTGTTTGGTCATAATATATTGGCCAAGATAGAACATTACCTATAAGTCAAACATATTGACATTAAATGTGTTTAACTTTGTAGCACAGAACTAACCAATATCCCCTATTATCAAACCCAATGAGAAGTCTGCAACTTCCCTTACACAGCAATTTCCATCCACAGTTCTCATAGTTCTGTACAGTTCCCCATTTTGCAGGTGAGCAAGCTGTAGTTTACATGTTAAGCGACTCGTTCAAAGTTACAAAGCAAGACAACTGCAGTCAGGAACAGAACTGTTTCCTGATTTCCACACCTATGCCCAATCCAGTGAGTGAACTACACTACCAGACACTTGTTTACTCATAAATAAAGGAGAACTTGTAAGAAGGCAATTTACTGTTATGCACCTTTATTAATGGGATGTTTTGCTCACTTACCTCCTTCATAGTAAAAATATCCTTTTCTGCCCCAGCAAACTTCAACAACTTCAGCAACAAAGGTTTTGGTCTAACCTGAATAAATAGAAGAAAAAAAACATTTAATTTAAAGTTATAAATGCTTCCTAAAACATCTAAAGCATTTAAAAAAAACCATATGACATGTATACAAAGCTATGTTAAAACAAAAGTTACTCAGGTTGCAAAGTCAAACATTTGAAAATTACCACGTAAAAAATTAATTCTTTTCTTTAAAAAAAAGTAAATACAAGCCCCCTATGACATGCAACTATAACCATCCCTCCATGAACCCTGAAACGCAATGAAGCCACAGACTGCCTTCATTGGAGCTACGGGAACAACTACAGTAGCTGGTTGCAGTAGAAGGCTATCATCCCATAGAAATAGGGGGATACTGGGTTAAGGGAGCTCAGACTACCTCTCTGACCCTCTCCCAGAAACACAAGAATTTCTATAGCAAATAATGTCCAAAGAGGGGCACAAGACATGCCATTACGGTTATCCTAATCCTCAGTCTTTCTACCGGTATCACAACTAGGTGTGTAACAGTTACAGTCTGCTTGATGCTAGATGATAGACTTGGGCACTGATGGAGATAAACCAAGTCAGTCTCTCCTCCCTCCATCCCTCCACCAAGTACACCTGTTCTGACCTGCCTCTAAGTGCTCCCAACACCAACGGTAGCACTGCTGCCTCAGTGGCAGCACACATCTAGTTTTAAAACTTTATGTATACTTATGTGTACACAGCCAACATTTTTTTCTGAAGTTCTCAAATGACAGAAGGAAAACAGTAATTTTCAATAGGCTCTCGAAGCACAGCCTAAAAAGAATTGCATAGGCCCCAAAACCCCAGATACTTGGAATCATAGAAAATTAGGTTTGGAAGAAACCTCAGGGAGGTCATCTAGTTCAACCCCCTGCTCAAAGCAAGATCATTCCCAACTATATCACATCCCAGTCAAGGCTCTGCCTACCCAGTAAAAACCTCCACGGATGGAGATTCCACAACCTTTTTAGCCCAATGACTTAATCTGTACCCACATTTCAAAGGCCTGCTGTAAACAGCAAAAGGTATCTGAGCTTCTTCAAAATAGCTAAAAGAATCTTTTTAATGTAGGAAAGAATTAACCTAAATACTGGGTTGCTATCAGACACCCCAATACACACACATTTTCATCAACTACTTTCGTGCAAGAGCTGTCTGCAACACACAAGTTCTGTAAAAAGTGAACTTCCCACCAAAAGTGGAAAAAACATACCACGTGTACAAAGGAGTTTACAAAGCCCTGCAACTAGGCCTATGCTTCACGATTCCTGAGTATGCCTATAGACATGCTGCACTAATGTCCGAATTAGCAGCAGCACGGCCACATTAGAGCCACACTGACCAAAACCCTCTGCAACATGCTTCAGGATGGTACTGCCCAGTGCCACACAGCTATACCCTCTGTGTCCGCAAGGAGACTGCCAATCTTGGGGCTTTAACACAAGGGTCCATTCATTCAGGTATGATTGCAGACTGGGCTTTACACTGATGATAAGTTCCATGAGGAAGCCTAAAAGTTTCTATTTCCCCTTCTTTTTAAAAAGTAGCTTTTTGATCCTACTCCACTTGCTATTCTTTCATGAATGTTTTTTACTCTCTTGCAACTTGCTAACACTTTACCACCGAGGCCTGCCACAACTGAAAGCTGGCTTGTGCCTGTATCAATCATGCGGTAGCTCCAATAAGAGCTAGAACCATGAAAAGTTAGGGTTGGAAAGGACCTCTGAAGGTTGCCTACAAAGAAAAAAAAAAAAAAAAATCATGAAAAAAAATAATCATGAGACTCCTGATTTCCAAGTCAAATTAACTCTGTTGTACTTGATAGACAAATCAAGTCTTGGGATTTTTTTCTTCTGGCGTGTTTAGAAAGTGCCAAGCTAGTAAGTCTGTGCAGGGGAAGAGGCAGGGGGGACAGAGAAAGGGCCACAGCCCTCGCAGCCCTGCTGCTGCCCCTCACTCCTGACCCACAGTACAGAGACCTCCCTCTCCAGGCTCCAAACCCCACACCTTCACAAAAAACCCCCACCACACACACATGCACACTTTAAAAACAGCATCTCATGATTTACATTCTAAATTTCTTGATTTTTAAGCGTTTGCCTCATGATTTTTGATGCAGTGGGATTGGCAATACTGCACCGAGTCCAACCCCCTGCTCAAAACAGGACCAGCCCCAACCAGATCATCCCAGCCAGGGCTTTGTCCAGGTGGGTTTGTCCCACTATCCAACCTAAACTTCACTTGCTGCGACTTGAGACATTGCTCCTTCAGTGTTACCAACTTGTGATTTTTGGCGTTGTTCCTAAAGTCAACACGTAGGGAATGTGAAAAACTTAGCTCTTTCTTTTATATAGGTATATAAAAGAGCCAAGTTTTTCACATTCCCAAAGCGTAGACTTTAAGAACAACGCCAACAGTCATGAGAGCTGGCAATACTACTCCTTGTAGTAAATACTGGGCAAAGCGCAAGCTCAGCAGCGCACCAGCCTTTCAGACTCAGGCAGCCTGGGGAAAACAGTGCGGCTTGACTCTTTTTTTGTTGCTTTTGGTTATCTGGTGGCTCCGAAAGCGACCGGGGCAGAAGGCTCTCCTGCTGCAGGGGCCTGCGTGAGACCCCGGGTTTGTCCAGGGAAGCAGGCGGGGGGGGCCAGGAGGCAGTTTCCGACTAGGCCGGCGGGCAGGCAGGGGACAAGCGGGGATCCCCATTCTTCCCAGCTGTCAAGAGCAGGTGGAGGCCGCTCTGCTGTGTGGTGCAGCCGCGGGATCCTGATCCTCCCCTGAGCAGGGCACGGGCTAGGCGGCCTCGCCAGGTCCCCAGGCCCGCCCCGGGCAGTGCGGGGCAGGAGGGGCGCGCGTTTCCGGAGCCAAGCCGCCAGCCCCGCGCCCCGAGGCCGGCACAA